TACAATCCATAGTGCAAAAAGTCTGATAAATGTAGCAGAGACTTAAATAAAAGAGCAGAAAAGCATACCATTGCTCCAGCTTGGAAAACATCGGCAAGGTTATCAGTGATCACGCTCAACGGTGCATCATTAACCAGAGTAGAAGGCGAAAAATAAATATGAATATTTGGTGTGGAAAAATTAGATTGACTAAGGATGCGGCCATATTCTCTTTGCACTTCCAGAATTAATCCTGTTTCCCTCACCAGTTCCGGAACTAAAATCGAATTACTGTCCAACTTTTTCCCTGACAATTATTTTGTATTCTTTCTTTCTATCAATTTTGATAGCACCTAAGTTCAAATAACTTACTTGAGCACGAATGATTGCGCTGAGTAAACTGCCTACGATTCGTATCGAACCAACCACCACCAAAACCATTAAATGCCGATCGTCTAGATCCAGTATTATATTGCGAATGTTCCGAATCTAGAAAATATATGATGTCTTCAACTCCTCATAAGGATACATGCAATATAAAATTGATAATCAAGACTTTAACATTCTCGAATAAATATTTCCATTCCCTTCTTTCTGAGAAAATAAAAATGGAGATTTTTTAGACTAAAATATTTGGATTCCATTTTATTACGTAAATAGAGGATCGAAACACATCTAAAATCATGTATTAGCGAACCTGAAACTGGAATTCGAATTTTTGAATTCCCGCTCACCTAAAGAAATTAAAGAGAAATAGAAAACTAACAATGATGATTACAGCGACTGCTCAAATTATTATTGTGATACGTTGGATGTGAACACGTCCCCTGCGATGTATCGGTCATTCCAGTAGCACTGCTAAATTTCAATCAAGTATTTCTGCAATTAACTTGAAACAATCATTACCTCGTGAAAAAAAATTTTGAAGTAAAATTCTGAAAGATAAAAACTTAATAGAATGAAAATAACTCCTTAACGGAAAAGATAAATAATGATAAAAATACACAAATTAACAATGCAACAGACCGACCACACAGATATTAAGCTTCAAATGATTGTTTTTCCGATAAGCAGCGAATAAATACAGATTGAATTTGAAGTCTTCCTTAGATCTCTCGGGATATACTTGCAACCATAGCACATTCCAGATGGTAATATGTTACATCCTATCTCATTCTTCACATATACTGCATATTCTTTCTGACCTACACAGATATTTCTTAAATTTCGGATCTCGACTAAGGAAAGATAATAATTTCAGGAAGTGCCAATGAGAAGCAGTAATAAAAAAGATGATTAAAAACGTTTTAATTTACCTCACTCGCATCTTACGCTACTTTCGTGAACTCCCTCCCTTGGTACCATCCTTTAAGTTACGGAAACAATAATATTACCAACTGTACTCTAATAAATCTACTGTGATCCATAACTTTTTCATACTGTCAGCTTTGTGCAAAAGCCTAAAGGGCGGTTTGATGGATCCGTGTTGACTTGTTCATACAGTGATTGGGAAGCGTGATACCGTTGCTGTTACTCACGTTGGGGTTATTCACGTGTCCTTATGTCATGTGAATTATCTTACGTTTGAGTAGAATGCGGTGGCATTAAGATCAGAAATATGTAAATAGCTGGATATTTGGGGCTCCGCCTTGATTGTGCCTAAACAATGCGTGTGATGTTCGTATGTTTCGTATGCAAGCGTACATGATACATTGCTGTGAATTGTTTTGTATTTTTTTGCTGTTCAGTTTCACATTAATATGCAAAGTACACGCGACATAAACGATGGGCTGTTACAAACACTCAATTTCAGTGTAGGATGGGGTTCGTGAAGGTAGTCAAGAATAAGGCATATTTCAAACGTTATCAGGTGAAACTTAAGCGCAGACGTGAGGGTAAGACAGATTATTATGCAAGGAAACGTCTAACTGTGCAGGATAAAAATAAGTATAATACTCCAAAGTATCGTCTTATCGTACGTTTCACCAACAGAGATGTCATCGCTCAAGTGAGTCAAGCTACTTTATTGCAAGTTTGTTCTGATTGTATGGAGATAAATAGAAGCTTCACGTGATTATATCGTTCACTTTTCATCTTATCATTTCTTTAGTGACGGTCAATAAGCTATAAATAATATTTGAGTAAACGCCATAAAATACTCATCCAAATCATGTTGATATCATGTGTAATAAACTGTGGACAAATTTCCCAACCCACATTTTTTTTTGCTTTTTACTACCTGTTATTGGAAAATGTTTTTGCAAGGTGTGGCTTCTCTGCAGTGACTTTTTAAGATCAGATCGGTTTAGTTTTGAGAACCAACAATACTATTTCAGATAGCATATTCTCGAATTGAAGGTGATGTAGTGGTATGTGCTGCTTACTCACACGAATTGCCGCGTTATGGAATTAAGGTTACATTTGCTTCGTTTTGTGGTCAGGCATTCATTTATAAAATTTGCAACTGAGTGATATATATGCATGTATTTGTATGTCTGTGTGAAGTCAGAAGCGCACTTGTTAATTTAGATTGACATGTATAAATCAGGTTTCGTGGCAGACATGAATTGCATACTGCAGTACGTGAGAACATTTGATTGTTCACACTTCATGAGATTGGTTAAGATTTAGTGAAAAAATATATTTATTGAGCAATTATGATTTTTGCACTGTTTGAATTTGTCACTTGTAGGTGGGCTTAACCAACTATGCATCGGCTTATGCTACTGGTTTATTGCTTGCTCGGCGTCATTTGCTTAACATCGGTTTAGCAGAAACGTACAAAGGTCTGGAAGAAGCGAATGGTGACGATTACAATGTTGAAAAAGAAGGTGAACGAGCACCTTTTCGGGCAGTCCTCGATGTTGGTTTAGCACGCACTGTTACAGGCGCTAAGGTTTTCGCTGTCATGAAGGGTGTTGCTGACGGCGGTATTGATGTTCCGCATAGGTGTGTATTATTTTACTACGTACTTTTTGCATTATATTTATGATGCATGATTGTTATCAAACAACAGAAAGTATGGAATACTTGTCATGGTTAAAAGTTCTAGATCTGTTAGTACAATCTTTTTTTCAGTGAAACACGTTTTTTCGGTTATAATTCGGAAACCAAATATAATGCTGAAGCGCATCGTGATAGAATACTTGGAAAACACGTTGCCGATTATATGACGCTATTGAAGGAGCAAGATGAAGAGGCATACAAGCGACATTTTTCGCGTTTCATTGCTGCTAACATCAGTGCAGATGATGTGAGATGTTGTTATATATCGAAAACATGATTATTCCTATTATTAATCCGATGTTTAGTTTTATTTCTGAATTAATATGCAAAAGTTTTGTACTTGTAGATTATGGATATGTATAAAAAGGCACATGAAGCTATCCGTAAGAATCCAGCACGGGAAATTAAGGAGCCGAAGGAGGTTATTTCTTCCCTTTTTCCTTTTTTTTTTATTTACATTTGTAATCTATTTGGAAAAACTTGACGGTATGTTTTCGAATGCTTTGTAGTATTGACAGCATTTTCCCATGTGGATTGTTAGTCTCAATTATATTCAGATCACAAAGAAACGCTGGACGGCGAAGAAGGCATCGCTAGCAGTACGCAAGAATCGTGTTAAAAACAAGAAAGCATATCTTAAAATGCTGAAAGCACAGCAAGAGGCACAGTAATTGAAAATCGTTTTGTTGATGTCGTTGTACATCTCTAAGAATTATAAGATTGTTATTTTGCTACGTAAATATTATTAAATTTTGCTCGTGTGACAAAATATGACATTAGAGATTGTGATTGTGGAATTATGGCACAGATAAATAAGTGATGACACTTGAAAGATGGTAAAGGTGTGCTACAACCTCAATTATTTACGAGTTAGGGGATTGGGATTATGCTAGTATTGATAGCTGAATTTTGGTTTACTTAATACGATTTGCTTTAACAGGTATTTGTAGCTTTTGTTACTAAACTACAGTTGTTGCCCTTCGAAATGAGAAAAAATTTGAAATTTGGATTGCGAGTCTCATCGTTCCTCCCAACAACAATTTGACATCTTGTTTAAACAAAATACCTGTATCAGTGTTAATTGGATCACAATGTTCTGACTTGGATCAGCCACATCTTATCCGGGATATTTTGTTCAGTACAATGTATTGACAATGCGTGACTGATGAAATATCAAACAGCAGGATCAAGTTCGGGAAGTTGGATAGGCCGAAAATAGATCTATGTTGATTAGCTTGGAATACTCTTGAATAAAAACGGTCTTAACCATGGACATTAAATGGAATAGAATAGCTTTAAAAATAAAGTCGTAAGTTTCCAGTGGATGATTCGTACTTATATAAATCCGACATATGATTGCCGATATCGTCGGTAATAATCATTGTACAAAATGATCGATTAATTTCAATTTTAAGAAAGAATTGTAATTATAAATGATAATTTAACAAAACGCGATCATTACGATATATTATTATAATTATTAATTTTAATTTTAAAAAAGAGTTGTAATCATAAATGATAATTCCACAAAACGCGATCATTACGGTATATTATCATAATTACCTTTTTATTCGTTTAAATTGCATCATTTTCTCTTCTGTTATGATTGGGAAAACGTGAAAAGGAAAAGGAAAGAAAGAAATATTCTAAAAAGAGAAATGAATGGGTACATAACAATAAACGATAAACCAAGGCAATGTGCGACATTTAACCTTAATTATTGTTCACATGAGTTTGTAAGTAAGTGTCGTGTGAACTATGATAAGTAAATGTCGTGTGAACTATGACCTCAAATTAATTGCAATTATAATTCTCATGAAAATACTTTTTATCGGTTTTTCTAAGAAGAGTGTAAGAATGTATTAATTTTCGTGGGATAAATGGCAATAACTTGATCGAAAAAGAAAAGGAAAAAGGGAAAGAGAGAGAGGGAGAGAGAGAAGGAAAATAAAAAGATATTTCACTGTTACTGTTGTGAGAAATTTCAGTTTTTTATTTGACAATTTTTTTATAAATTCATTCTTACTGCAGTTATTCAGAAATTGTTTGTCTAATATATAATAATTCGTTTGATTACTTTAGATTACATTCTGATTCCGATTGGAATAGTTAGAATGGGTTCATCAGCAAGGTTAACTTCAAAATTGCAAATCCCTCTTTTCATTGTCTATCGGAGATTAACCATACAAATGGATTCTTTGGAAGGTAATCTAAAAAGAGTTCTGTTGCACTTGAACAAGAATAATTTGCAACTTATCTACTCCTTCATGAAATTTAACAAGAAAAAGAAGGAATGAAAGCGAGGTGAGAGCTTTTTAAAAATTCAAAAATCTAAATTCTGAGATTTCAAGTAAATTTTTGTTTAATTTTTTTTGTATGAAAAATCTACAGAATTAATCAAATTGTAAGAAAATTTGAGAACTTATGTATAAAATTATATCAATTAATTTTACTGAATTTAAAATTCTGGCGTGAATTTTGATTTTCAAAAAAGGAAAGTAAATTTTTACCACAATTAAAGCATGCTGTTTTTTTTTCAGAATTCAATTTTTTATTGCTTTAGGTTTTGATTGTTAATAACTGAATCGTTAAATATTTTTTTAAATTTCAACCTTCAATTTGGTAATTTAATTTAAACAATCAATTTGGTCTCCACATTTTACAAATTTCAATTACAACTAATATGAAATTTCAATGCAAAACTTAGAAATTTATAAGTTTCTCAGTTAAATAATAATTGACTATAAATAATTATTTTCGAGTACTTATGTATACCGTTAAATATAGCACTTCATGGGAGGGTCATTATGAGGCGACGGAATGTCGCATCGTTCGGAAGATTCATTCATGGGAAAATATTTCTTGAGAATGTAATGAGACCTCACACACTCTATGAACTCACCGACAAAAGTAAGTAGTGATTAATATTGTAGTCTAAAAAAAGTATTCTACTTTTTAATATTTGCACGATAAATAATTATTAATTAATGAATTGAGAAGTTTATTTAATTCTTCCTCTAAAATTAATTTAAGTATGAAAATAGCGCATAAGTTTTAGAGTAGTAGAAAGTAGAAAATGTAGAGTGAGAAAATGAGAAAATGGTATGAAAAGATAAGTGAAAAAAAAATTTATGTAGTTTTTCGACGTAATCTGACTTTTAGTTAATATTAAAAAAAATTGTTTGCAAAATTTTTTGTATGCAAGCCGGCTTAGTATGTTATTCTATTTTCCGGAATACTGTCGTCGAGTAATTATTCAAGTTTAGTTTCCATAATGTTTATTAGAATAAGTTCGAACTATAATAAATCATTTGTTTCAAATTAGCAATAAATTAACTAAGCAAATTGATTAAATGATTTGGTCCATTTCTGAACAATTGTTACGATCAATTTGCTTAATTAAATTTAATGTTTAATAATTAAGTTCAAAATGTTAAATCATATTTTATATATCAGTAAATTGTAGCAGTATATTTTAAAGGATTACAGAAGATTTCCATTTTTTTCTCTTTTTCTTAATTGTAGTGAGAAATAAATTTTTGAACATGATTATGAATAATAATATGTATGCACAAGATATTCTTCAAATAATTTATAAATTGTTAAATTTTAAATTCAACAAAAAAATTGGGAAATGTGGCATTTCAGTGGTAAAATAATAATTGAATTTGTTGCAAATTCATGTTCCCATGAAATTGTAACTTGCAAATTTGCAAGGATGATATTTTTTTCATTTGACCTTATAAGATACTTTGTTTCCTTCCACTTCTCAGTTATTTGCATAGCTTTAAACATCCATAATTTTCTTTTGCCTCATACAAGTTCAGCTCTCATTTACTGAGCGCTTAAATTTTATTTTATTTTTTACCTTCGTTTAAAATACTCAATAAATTGTTTCAAACATTTTAATCCGTACATTCAAACAGTTGTTTCAATTTTTTTTCTCCCATTCTTTTCCTTTTTTTCTTCGGAAAAATTTTTAATGCTTACAAAATTTATTTGGAAAAAAAAACAAAGAACTGAATAAAAAATAGCAAGAGAAAATTTTATAATGACATAAATGTCGGTAATATGTTTGGGTATTATGAAATTAAATTATGAAAATAATACAAAAAACTTCGATTTAATTTTCGAAATATTTTTACGATTGTCTAATACCGCATATCATTTACTTTGTGTGTATTTTAATATAAAAGCTTTTGTCCATCGCAAACTGACTGTAATTAATTAATTACTTTCAAATATTCTACGACAACTTTTACTTGGAAAATGATTAATTGATCATGATTCCAAAATATAAATATAATTCGAATTATATGATTTTTTTTGAAAAAAATATAAATGATTTTTTTTTTGTATTTCATTTCAAAAGAAATAATGAAGAGACTGAGAAGCATTTGCAATTGTTCAGAAATACAACAGAAGCATGTATATATGCATGCGTATGATGTTACCGGCGCCAGATTAAACTTCTGAATGGTGAAAATAGGGATTATCCTACAAATCCATCAAGAATGATGAATCCTTCCATTCACTCACGTAACCAAAAATATTTTAATATAACATTCTTCCTTGTTTGCCTTCTGTAATATTTGCATCAATCCTTTTTTCTTTTTTTCATGCAAATTAAATAAGATGAAATGAGAAGTTAAGGTAATAAATGAAATTTAAGATAGTAATGTTAAATCGTCAAACTTTGATTTATTGATATTGCTCATTGTATTTTACATTCGTTTTAGTTGCTAACTACAACATTTTATTAAATTGTTTTTGTCAATCAATATTTTTTCTAAGAAAAAAATACAAAATTTGAAATGATCAGATAAAACACAATAATATGAATGTATAACTTACAATTTCTACCATACTTTACTTATACTTGTCGAGAAAAAGAATGAAATTCTTTAAAAGACATCAATTTTTTCATCAATTTTTTTTTTGAAAAAAAAAATAATAATATTAAAGAACTGAATGAAGCATAATGATTATTAAATAAGGTTATATAATAATCCGGAAATAAGAGATAAAAATCTAAATCACTTGGGATATTTGTTCCGAGAGCAAATAAAATAACAAAAAAAATCTAGGCCATTTAAGATGTTTACTTTTTTTTCAATATCAAATTTATTTTTATGCTTTTCTAACAATAATTATTATAATAATTATTAGTGCAATTATCGTAAATTTTATAATTTAAAAATAATTGCACAGGAATAGGCTTGTTTAGCCGTCGTTTAATTTATTTACTCGTGTCTCTTAAAAAATACCCTTATTCCTTTCTTTCTTTCTCATATTTTGCGCTTTATAATATCATAATTTTAAAAATAAGATTAAAGGATTAGAATCCCATAAGTTGAACAAATTATAAATCATTCTCTGACAGTCGAACGCTTAATTGTCTGATGAACAAGCGATAAGTGGACAATTCAAACTTTGCCAGGCAATTTAAGCCGACTAAGTAATAACAAAATTACGACATTGCTTGGGAAAGTTGTTAACATTGATATTATCCCAGAAATATCATCCAATGATCTATGCTGCTTAATTTATAGCTATCCATCTATTCCTATCCATTCCTTTCTATAATATATTAAAATATTAAAAATCTTCCTATCAGGAATAGTGCAAAAATTTTTATCAAAATTCTAATTTATATTATTAAATTTAGACA